TGTATATATATATATACACATACTAAGGATTAACTTGGTTGTGAGGACAACCTAAGGGAATAGGGAGCCAGGTCAGTGAAGGAGGCTCAGGGTGGGTGTGGAACTCAGGGGTGTCCTCCAGGGGAGACAACCCCAGCCCAAGGTGTGAGAGAGGCAGTGTTAGAAAGGAGAACTTTGAAATTAATTCTGTCTCAGAACTCATCTACCTGGCGTTTGACAAATCAGCACCTCCAGCCAATGATCATCAAGTGACTGCTGGGTGTTCAACTCTGTGTTGAGTCCCAGTGACCCCAAAATGAAGAGCACATAGCCCCTGCTAATGGCCTGAGTCAGTGAGACAAACAGACTTTGTTACAGAACATAGAAAAATGAAAGTGTACTAACATGATCCAGACTCTCAGGAAATGTTACGGTGGCAGGAAGAGCAACCAGTGGGAAAGATGACCAGTTCAAAACCATTGTGTTCCGGCACAGAGGGGTTACTTTCATTGACTTCAGATTCTCCTAACCTGGGTGCACGTACCCCGGTTTTATTATTTAATGCACTGATATAGAAGACCACATATTGCTATAGCACAGATTCTTTGTGTTTATTATTTTATTGATAATTTTGTTATTGTATTGACAATGCATATTATATTGGTATATAATATGTAATGTGATACAATCTATTTTATTTTATGCATTTAATAACTTGCTGTCGGGTAGAAAGTGCTAAGTATCTCAGGGAAGTGGGAATGCATCTATTCTGAGGGGAGTTCACAGGCTTTCCAAACCCCAAAATCTATCCATGATGGCACAGAAATCAGGAGATGAAGAACCACTGTTGACCTGAAAAGCTAGGCAGGATTCCTTCAGATGAGCATGACAAACTCATCTCTAACTGCTGGTTTCAACAAAGCAGGAGGTCTTTGTTGGGTATCTGGTGGCTTCAGGTGTGGTTGAATACAGGGACCCCCACGGAGCCCCCAGATGCAGTCTCTCTACATCCTTGGGCTCTGCTTGTTGCTGCTGCACCTCAGTAGGTTAGAACCGCCTTCCACGGACAGACTTCTCTCCAAGGCAGGCATGATGGCTCTTCTCCAAATGTTGATCTTCTAGCTTGGCTGAAAAAGGTTCTCTACACCCCTCCCCAGGCCATATATCAACCCAGGAAAGGGCTCCAGAGGAATGTAATATTATGATTGCCCCAGCCTGGGTCACGTGCTATTCCTGGGACCTGGGAGGACGTCCAGGATGGACAACCCCCTGAAGGCCCAATGGAAAGTGTGTAAGCGTGGGGGTCCCCCAACCAGAAGGAGCACTCCCTTCCCTGGCATTTCTGCTTCCACTGGGAGCCCTTACTGCCTGTAATGGGAGACCTGACATAGACCCGTGGAGACAACTAGGACACAGCTTAAGATGACAGGAAGTAACCGAGGGCCCTAAAGCCCAGCACAGATAGTCAGTGCTGCAGTCTGCCCAGAAAGAGACACCCCAACACAGGCCAAATCCCCGACAGCAGACAATTCTACCCTTCACTGGGCCCCAGAAGCCAGGCACTAGGCTTGGCCCTTACAGCTTGGTCTTACTGGACTCTCTCCACTGCCTAGGAAGGGTGACTGTGATGACCTCCATGTACAGCCAAGGAAACTGAGGTTCAGGGAGGTTCGATGTCACATACTAGGAACTAGGGCACAAACTCCAGTGGGTCTCAAACAGAGCCCAGCTTCCTTTTAACCAGGAGAGAGTAGGATGTGTGTGTACATATGTGTGTGTATGTGTGTGTGTGTGTGTGTGCGCGCGCATGTGTCTGAGTGTACACACGTGTGTCGGAGTGTGAGCATGTGCCTATGGGTGTGTATGACATATATGTGTTGTACATACATGCATGCATGCATATATTATGGGGATATGTGTACACATATGTGTATCTGAATGTGTATGTGTATTTTATTTGCATGTGTATGTGTGCATGTGTGTGGAAGGGTGACAGTGAAAGAATTTTTGGCTCATTTCAATAGTGCCATTTTGAATCCCCTTCTTTCCAGTTCCCAGTTCCCAGCCCCCAACACCTAACCTCCATCCTGCCATGGGGGGGTGGGGGATGGGCAAGCGCTTCCTCTCTAACCAGATTCTGTCTTCTCTCCAGCAGGCTCTGCCCCCAAGGAGACCCGTGAGTACCCACCCAGCTCAACCACCCCAGCCCCACCCCACCCACCCTGCTCCCGTTGCCCCAGGGCAAGAAGGTCTGAGGTCCCTGTCTCTGGCCCTGCAAATCCCTGGAAATCTGGGTTTCCAGTTTCTTCCCAGCCCTCTCCCCCCATGACCCAATGATGATTTTGAGGCTCCCAAGCCCCCTCTCAGACATCTAGACTGGTGGGGACACAGTTCAAGTCTCCTCATCCCCAGTCCCCTACCTCTGCACTGTCTGGACCCTACCCAGGCCCAGTCCCAGCCCCTGCCTCCTCCTCTCTGCACCTCACCTGCTGGGAGCCCCAAGGCTGGGGCTGTGCTCCTTATCTCTATCGCGATGACCTCAGGCTTGGCTCAGGGCTCCTGCTGCAAAGTGCCAGGTGCATTTCAGGCACTACCAGGGCCCCAGAGACAAACAGAAGCAGCACTGATTATCTGTTGGGGTAGAAATGCCAGACTTGCCCAGTGAGGTGAGGAAGGTGACCTGGGTTCCAGGAGGGGTGTCCCCTTCCCATGGGATGGGTCAGGGAAGGCTTCAGGGAGAAGGTGGTCCCTTAGTTTTGTGTCACAGAGGAGAAAACAGCCTACGTAAAGGCCTTGAGATAGGAATGGGCAGAGTTCTAGGGGAGACCTTGACTGGAGAATGAAGAGAGAACTGGGGGGAGAGGGCAGGAATACGGAAGGCCTAAAATGCCACCACTACAGTATTCTGAACAGGGTTTCAGCAAGGACCTGGGCTCCCGAAAGTCAGGGGAGGTGGAAGGGAGGGATAGCTGTGATGATGGTGATAGTAATGGTGATTGCATGCCTGTTGTGTGCCAGACCCTGGATTCAGAATCTCACAGGCAGCTTGTGTGGTCCTACATACAACCCTATGTAGGAGCCATAATCATCCCCTGCTTATAAGTGGGGGAACTGAGGCTCAGAGAATGAGATCTACTGGCCAAGGTCACCCAACTGGAAGTGATGGAGCCGGAGTCAACATCCTGCCCCACCAGAGCCCACCCCTCAGCCCCTCATTGCCAGAGGCAACACTCCATGGACTCCTCCTTCTTCCATGAAGAGGGCTGTGGCTTCTGGAATAAGATTTTACCCAACTAAGAGGGTCCTGAGAGTCCCAATGCACCGTGAGATTACAGAGCAAAGACTGTGTGAACCAATACAAACCATTCATCCCACACCTTAGCCCCATCTTCCTGAAGCCTTCCTAGTCATACTCTTTTTTTATTTTTATTTTTATTTTTTTGAGTTGGAGTCTCACTCTGTCGCCCAGACTGGAGTGCAGTGGCCGCTCCCAGCCACCACAGCCTCTATCTGCTGGGCTCCGGCGATCCTTCTGCCTCAGCCTTCCAAGTAGCTGGAACTACAGGCGCGCGCTACCATGCCAGGCTAATTTTTTTTATTTATTGTAGAGATGAGGTCTTACCAGGTTGCCCACATGGGTCTCGAACCTGTGGGCTCAGGCAATTCACTCACCTCGGCCTCCCAAAGTGCGAGATTACAGGCTGAGCCACCGAGCCTGACCCTAGTCATATTCTGAAGTAGACAGAGTGTCACAGCATCTTGTTGCTGAACAAACACTTAGATACCAGCTGCTGGAGTGGTAGGCAAATTTAAGCACATGTGCTGCTTTCCATCCTTCCCTGCACCCATGGCAGACATCACCAATCAATCTCAGCATTCTTCTCCTCCAAGCCCACAAGCAGCCCCAAGAGCTTTATCATTAAGCCTCTAAAAGTAGGTTCATAATGACATTTAAGAGGAAACCTATTTGACAACCCCAATCTAAATCAACTCCCTGATTTCACAGTTGGCAAAGATAAAGGGAGAGATTTCTGACACATCACATGGCAGATTAATGAAAGAATGGCTCAAGTTTCCTGACTACAGCCCCACACCCAACCAGCTCCCTGCCCAGAGCAAAGCACCAGGGCTCCCAGGGAGCTTGGCCCTCGGGGTCTGAGGCAGCTGGTGGGGGCAGCCTTCTAAGCCAGAACCTGAGAGCAAATCCCCACCTCCCAGCAGCTGAGGCCCCCTTGGCATCACTCCCTTCATCCAGCAGCTTGACTGTGAAGACTGGATGGTCAGAAAATCAATTCCAGAAAAGCCTGCTTAAGCCAGCCTGTTGACAATGGGTTTATCAGACTTAACTGCAGTTGATTAGGCACTGGGCAACTCCAGGGGTGGTCCCCAAGGCCTGGAATAATCTCCCCCCCACCTGCAAATGTGAGACCCTTTGGTCTCAAGAGTAACCTGACCTCTAGATAAGGGGGCAGGTGGCTGGCGGTGGGGCCCCAAACTGTGGGAGAGGAGGAGCCATGCCCTTTCCACAGCCGACCCTGCAGGCAGGACTGGGCCTCTTCATGAGGGGTGCTGCCCAGGGAGAGGAGGACGGGTGCCAGGCCACTGCCCAGCCCAGCCCCGCCTCTCCTCAGCCCTCTCTCCTGAACAACCCTCGTGGGTGTCTCCACTCCCTGCCCTCACTCTCTGGGTGATAACGTTCTGGCTGAAGCTGGTTACACCCACCAAGTGTGTGAGCCAAAACCTGGGAGGGGGCCTGGGATCGGGCTTTCCCCTCAGATAGCAAGGCTGCCCACTCAGCTATGGGAACCCAAGCCAGCAGTGTGCCCTGGTGTGGGCTGTGTTCACTCCGAGAAGGGGCACCTTTACTTTCTCCAAGGTCCCCGGGGCTTGCTAAGACTTGCACCAGTGGGTGGTGTCCCCTCCTGAGGCGTGTTTTTTTCCGCTTCACCTGAAAGTTCTCATAGGCCAGCGAGAGCCCTGGAGACAGCATTGTCTCCCAGCCTCAGGTGCAGCCTGGCCCAAATGCTGTGTTCATGCAGTGAAGATTTATTGAGTGTCTACTTTGTGCCAATTATTGGGACAAGTTAACAAGATAGTCAGCATAAAGTGCTTGCCTCTGTCCCAACACCCAGTGCCCTCTACCTGTGCGAGCTCCAAGCACACACTGGCGGACCTCGGTCTGACCCCTGGCAGGGCTGGGGGAGAGGAAGGCTGTCCCATCAACTCTCCCCTTGCAGGCGAACATTCTCCAAATCCCCACGTACTCAGTCCTTCCTAAGGCTGCCTTCCAACTGGCAGGTGGTGCTAAAAGGCACGCACTGGTATAAATAAGAACGTGCCAGGCTGAAAATGCAGATGTCATCCTGGCTGGCAGGGAGCATGCTGGAGGCCAAGCCACTCAGTGGCTCCATCTCGGGACTCTGTCAGCGTCTCCCGCAATCACAGGCCTCCTGGAATGGCACTGTGGGGGTCGCACAGGAGGACGCAGATCTTAGTAGCAGCTGCAGTCACCAGCGGTGCCACACAGCCCAGCCCAGTGCTGAACTCTGCATGGGAGAGCCAGAACCACCTGCCTGTTCTCTGCTGTATACCAGGGTCTGGCTCTTAGTAGGGACTCAGTAAACAAGTGATGAATGAATGAATGAACAAATGATAAGAGTAGCCAATATGGACTGAGCATTAACCCGGGGTCATTTATTCCTCACAAGAACCCAGTGGGAAAGGCACAGTGGTCATCCCATTTTACAGAGGAGGAAGATGAGGTATGAGGAGGTTGGAGACTTGTCCCGGGAAACTCGGCTAGAGAGAGGTGCCCCCACCCCCTGGGCTGGGCCCCCCAGGAGCTTGTCAGCAGGGACCTCTGAGAACTCAGAGGGCTGCTGTGGCCCGAGTAGGGGTTCCCAAGAGAACCTCTTCACCATGGAGACATCGGTTCCTTCCTCTGGTTACATGTTCTGAGGGTGTGGTGCTGGGGCTGCGACAGGAAGCCCAAAATTTAATTCTGGGGTGGCCAGACACATGGCCAGCATCCTGTGTGCTCTGTCAAGGGTCGTCAAAGGTTCCATGGAGCACAGAAGGGCGGAGCTTCCAGCCTCAGTGGTCAGCTGGTCAGCAAAGCCTCCCCGGGGAGAGGCCTCTAAACTTCATCCTGAACCCGTCCTGGCCCGGCCCTCCCCACCTCCCCCAGGCCCCTCCTGAGCGAGCTGCTGCCCACCAAGGCGGTCTGTTCCCTCCCCAGGGGTTGTGAAGACCAAGTGTGGCCTCAGCAAATCCTGCCCAGCCAACTTCTTTGCATTTAAAATCTACAGCGGGGCCGCCAATGTCGTGGGCCCCTCTATGTGCTTTGAAGACCACACGTAAGTACCTGAGGGATGCCTATTTTTCTTTCCTTTTATTTCCTTCATTTGTTCATTAGAAAATTCAGGGGCTGTGAGGCCGGCCCGCACCTTTCCCAAGCTGCCCTTTACCCAGGTGAATGAGTCACAAATAACAATCACCCAAACAGCTCCTGTGTCTGCCAGCACCTTGCTAAGTGTTTATAGCATGTCTCGTTCACTCTCCCAATCTCCTGGGTGGTAGGGTTATTATTATCCTGACTGCAAATATGAAGAAAGTGAGGCATGAACAGACAGAGCAGACATGCGGCAGAGCCAGGATTTAAACTCCAGCCTGTCTAACAGCTGAGCTTCTCGGCTTCCCATGAAAGAAGATGCCTGCGGAGAAAGGGGTTCAAGCCAGGATTCTGAACCTAACTACAACTTGTTTAGGCAAAACAAGGGACTTATTGGTTCACATGACTAAAAGGCCAGGAGCAGTGGGCTTCAAGACAAGCTGAATCCAGGGGTCCAAACCATGTCACCAGGGCTCCCTCTCAACCATCAGCTCTACTTTTCCCTGTTAGTACTACTGAAAATGAACTTCTCCATGTGGTCAAGGAGAGAGACCACCAGCTGGTTTGACATATTAGCCCAGCCTAGCCCTACAACAGGAAGAGAGCTTTCCTGTCTGAATTATCCCTGCGAAAGTCCCAAGACTGGTTCTCATTAACTGTCCTGGGTCACATGACCACGTCTGACCCAATCAATGTGGCCAGGACACAGGATGCTGTACTTGTAAGGCCTGAGAGAAAGATCAGTCCCGGGTAGCATCTGGCCTGGGAGTGCAGAAGGACAACAACAAAAGGCAGGGGTGGGTGCTGGGCCAGCAGGAACATGGCTATGCCCTACATTGGGAGCCCACATTCCTCAGGGCAGCAGCAGCTTTGGGGCTCTGCCTCCTCCCGGCAGCCAGGCTTCATAGCCAGGGGAGGTGGGCAGACCCCACCTCAACACCTCAGAGTCCCAGGCAGGGACCTCGCCTCTTCTCTGAGCAGACTGTTCTGGTCCAACATGCCCTGAGAAGCCTTCAGAGAATCCAGCCCAACACTTGTTTCCAGAAGAAAACAGATGGCCCAAATTACTCCATGTGTTTCCCGATGTTTCTGTGCCATGTGGGTCCTCTTGGAGTCCCCAGTCTAGAAAGCAGACAGCCCATCCACGCTCGGGCCGATTGTTGTATCTTGCTTTTCTTCTCCTTCTTCAGGATCATGAGTTCTGTGAAAAACAACGTGGGCCGAGGCCTGAACATCGTCCTGGTGAATGGTGAGTTGCGGATCCACCCCGGACAGCCCGACCTTGCTCTCTGCATATTCATTGAACCAGCTTCTTCCTCGTGCCAGGGTGATCCCAGAGCTCTTGGCGGGAGGCGTGCCTGGCCGAAGGGAACAGAAGAGAGCCACAGTCCTGGCCAGGCCCCTGCCAGGTGCTCCCAGCCCAGGAGGACACACTTCTCCTAGGAAACATGGGCCATCCTCAAAGCCACACCTGCTTACACCAGCACGCGTGAGGCCACAGGGGACAACCAACGACAACACAAGATCACACACTGAGCACACACCTCCATTTCATTCATTCTTCGTTCATTCAACAAATATGGGCAGGCCAGGCGGGGTGGCTCACATCTGTAATCCCAGCACTTTGAGAGGCTGAGGCGGGAGGATTGCTTGAGCCCAGGAGTTCAGGACCAGCCTGAGCAACGTAGTAAGACCTCACCTCTACAAAAAAAAATCAAAAAATTAGCCGGGTGTGGTGGCACATACCTACAGTACCAGCTACTCAAGAGGCTGAGGCACAAGGATCGCCCGAGCCCAGAAGGTTGAGGCTGTAGTGAGCCACGTATGCCACTGCATTCCAGCCTGGACGACAGAGACTCCTGACTCAATCAATCAATCAATCAAATATGGGCAGCAGCTACTGGGGGAAAAGCCCTGGGGGTCAGCTGAGAACTGGAAGGACAGGCCCTGGCTTCACAGTCCCGTGGTGTCCGTGAAGTTCACAGACAACCTAACGTGTGAGCATCTCTGGAGGAGGCAGAGGCACAGCTGTGGGAACTGGGACGCAGAATATGGGGCAGAGGGTGGTCAGGGGAAGCTTCCAGATTGAGGCTGGAGGATAGTAGAGGTAGGCCAGGAGAAAAGCAGGGGAGGCTCCTTCAAGGCAGGGGCAACAAAGTGCCGGGAGGAGGGAAGGGAAGACAGGGGTGACACGAGGGTCTTTCGACAGGCAGTGAGGCTCGGGAAGCCCACAAGGCCAGAGGTTGAGGAGTTAAGCCTCTTGCTGAAAAGTTCAGGGCAGCAGGAAACCCTGTGGGGAGGGGATGAGGGGCCAGCCCTGCATTCCGGAAACCACCTTCCAGCTTGGAGTGGGGAGGCTTGAGACAGGAAGGCCCAGAGAAAGGCCGGTGGTCTTGATGATCCTGCATCTCTGGCAGGAGAGACACGTAAACAGGAGCCCAAGGGCAGCCAACCCTGAGACAGGGACACGTTTCCAGAGGAGGTGGGTTTACAGGACCAAGTAAGGATCGGTGGTCCAGCCCCAGCAAAGACCTCCTCTCTGCATCTGTTCTTAGACACAGAGCAAGAGCCATTTCCCAGACTCCGAGGGCCACTTCCTGGGACAAAGGTCAGGGAAGACAGGAAAAACGATTCATGGGATGCTCAGAGAGGAACACATCAAGCTGGTGTGTGGCACGACCACACTTAGGACAGGACAGGGTAGCATGGGAGCCCTGGCCTTGCCGGCCCAAGCCCTGCACCGTGCTCCTAGAGGAAGACTTCTTCCCTCTGCCAAGAAACCCCACTGGGTGAGGGGAGAGGTCAAGGCCTGGAGCAGAGGTGGGTCCCTGCCTGGACAGATGGGAGTCGGAGGACAGCCCTGGCCAACTTCCTGGGGGCCCGGAAAGGGCCAGCGTGGGGAGAGGCAGGAGGGCTGAGCGCTGTCCTTTGTCCACACCTTGAGGAGAACCCAGGCCCATGTCACTCCAGCCTCGGGACAGTGGCTGCTGGGATGGTGGCTCTTTCCTGCAGGGAGGGCGTGTGGGCAGCTCAGGACAGTCTCAGAGCACCCTTCTGTGCAGGCCAGGCTCCAGGAGACGGCAGGAATCCCAGTTGGCATCAACAATCCCACCCGATCTGCCCTCACCTCATGGCTCCAGCTGCAGCTGACCTGGCTGAAAACAGATGGGCCACCGCCTGAGGAAACCCCTTTCATCGTCTCTGATGAGATGGCTCCAGACTGGGGTCTCCTTCCCTGTCTCTCGCAAAGCCAAAAGATGAAAACAACCATCAATGACAATAAGAACTAGCATTTATTGAGCACTTACCGTGTGCCGGCTATTTTACCTAACCTCATCATTGTGCTAGAATGGAGCTATACTTGATATCCCTGTTTTCCAGGTAAGAAATGAAGGCTCAAGGAGGTTAAACAACTTACCCAAGGCCACACAGCCTAAAGAGCCCTCTAGATGAAACTGGATCTGGTTAAAGTTCAGGTCTTAATTATGAGCCAAACTGCCTCCCTAGATTGAAATGTCTCAAGCAGGTATTCAGCGCCTACTGCATGCCAGAGTGGGAAAGTCCAACAAAACATCGCAGGGCTTCAGGAGCCTCATCCGTATCATGAGCCAGAAAACAAAAGGATTGCTAAAGATCCGGTAGTTCTTAACCTTGTAGAAGGGTAGAGACTCCTCTGAGAAGCTGTTCAAACTATGCTGCCGCCCCTCACTCCGATTCCAGAAAAATCCACAATCACATGCAATCACAGAAGCAGTTTCAGGAGTTCATGGACCCCTTCCAGAGACCCCAGGTGAAGCTCTAGGCCGACGCTATGTGGCTACGAGAATCTGGGAAGAGAGGCTACGTAGCCTGCGCGCCGCCAGCCGAGAGCAGCCACTGCCACCCGGTCCCCACCCTTTCCTGGAAGCCACAGAGCTGCCATCCCCTCTGCAACACCGCCATCTAGTGGCACAGAGCAAGAACTGCAACTCTTCTCCAGAAGACCAGGTTCCCTGGAGGGCTCAGCGGCCTTTTGCCTCGTCCTGCCACAAAACCCACAAAGACAATTCAGATACTGGACTCTGGGAAACAGAGTACCCGTCTAGTCATGCAAATCTCTTTGCCTTCAAGAGTTGGAGGACTCAAGTTGCAGATTTTCTATGTAGGTGATTTCTCAGCTAAAATTCATCTTGTCTGCTTACTGTCGATTTAAAATATATCTCATTTAGTTCCGACAGCCCATTGCACAAAATTGAGGTCAAAATGCTACACCCTGGATTAGGCAGTGGCAGCACAGAACAGACTCAGACTGGGTAGATGCTGTTCAATTCCAGGAGCTCTCTCGGGCACTATGCTCTTGAACCTGTCAGATCAGCCCAGCAACCACAGTCACCTTCTTATACTTACATCCTGCATGTTTTCTAGAGGGCCTGACTTTATTCCATTTTTCTTCTATTTTTAGACCCACAGATTAGCCATTTTCAGCTAAATGACAAGCAGAGTGACACATGTTACAAGAGATAATAGCTCTGCTCTCTTAACCCCTAGGAACCACTGGCACGGTGCTGAGACAGAGCACTTTCGACATGTACTCTGGAGGTAGGCACTTCTGCTGGGGCTGAAATCACGGAGTGGGCCGGGTTGGGCCCCTCTGGGTGGCAGGGGAGCCATCGGCACTTGTTTCCACGGGAGACAGCCAGAAAGAGGCACGGTGGGTAGAGGGCCTCCTGACTGCTGTCTCAGTTCAATCTCCCAGACTCAGATCCTGAGGCAAGGACTTATTTGGGAGGTGAACTCTGGAAGTGCTGATGGGGGAGTGGGGAAGCCAGACAGGGAAAGGAAGGAAACCAACACAGAATGTGTTATCCAGGCAGTTAACACCTCAGTTGGAAACCTGGAGCTGTCCACACACGGGCCTCAAAGATATCCTAGACAAGAGGGGGTGAGATGCCCATACCCCGACTCCTTGGCACCTCCCCGCCCTCTGGCCTGCCCTCAGGGGGCAAAGTGGGATCCGGAGGCCAGAGAAGAACTTGCTGCGGCAAAGCAGGGCCGGTGCTGGCAGCGGAGACTGGGCCGGCGTCACTGAAGTGCCAAGGACGAGGTCGTGCGGCCTAGCTACCCCTACTCAAATTCTGTGAGGTAAAGGATACTTTCTTTGAAGGCTGCAGGGATCCTTATTGGACCCACAGACAGGACAAGTCTCCTTTCCCGCCCTCTCAGAATCTCAGCTCTCTCCTTTGCACAGATGAGCATTTTCAGCCCTCTTTGAGCCCTCTTTGCCCTTAGTATGGCTGGGTAAAACAGGGTCTGACCTAGCTGGACTGAAATCCCAGACATCCAGGTTCCACCAGCAGCTTCCATGCCTACCAGCCACCTGTGGGCAGGGCTGGGACCCTCGCCAACATCTTCCAAGATGTTGTGGGATCAGTCCAGGCCCAGTGTGCCACCCCTACTGCACTGCTAGCAACCCAGCTTCCTTCCAACACAGAAGGCTCAAAGCAGGAGTGAAAAAAGCAGCAAGCGGGGATATCTAGGCCTGCAAGGACTGGTCTCCACGAGGCAGACAGCTGAGCTCCAGCCCCATGCTGGAGTTTCCCTTCCATCTCCCTGAGGCCACAGGGCAGCTCCAGGCTTGGCCGTCACAGGATACAAGCGTGTGTGACCCCTGGCCCCAGAAAGCCCCTGGCAGAGCAGCAGGGGCCATGCTGCTGCCACTGGTTGGACTTTTTCTCTTCTGAGTTCCCCCATCTTTGCCTCAACCTCCAGGAAAAATCCTCTTGTCTGTGCCCACCTAAACACATGAGTCCAGGAGGGGAGAAAGTCAGCAGGGAGCAGGGAGCCCTCTGGCTTTGTAAACAAAGGAAGAGGCTGAAACGTGGCAGATGGGGAATGTCCAGCAGTGCCACTCTTAGAGGCAGGCAGCTGGGGCCCTGTCCTGGGCCCAGGGCTGTAGAGGGCCCCGCCTGGTCCTCTTCCAGCTTCGTCCCAGCTCATGATGAGGAGTCTGCAGAGCCGGGGGAACGCGCCCACCTGGAGCCAGCATTGTGGCCCATAGAGGCCTTTTCCCGGGAGAACCCCTTCCCCCAAGCTGGCAGACACTCCCCTAGGACCCAGGCATGGCCAGGGCTGTCTGTTGCTGGCTGGAGGGTGGTGTTGCTGGCTGGAGGGTGGAGGGTGGGGCTTGTCCACACGCAGATGGGCAAGGCCCCTACTGGTACAGGATGAAGGGGAGGGTGGGGTAAGAAGAGAGGACAGGCCATGGACTGAGGGCCAGAGGCAGAGCCTCTGCCCAGGATCCTGCAGCTGTTTGGGCTGGCCTGGGACCAGGCATATGGAAAAGCCCAGTCTCTGGAGTCAGATCCTTCAGGCTGCATGACCAGAGGCAGGCGGCAGCTCTTGAGCTTCAGTTTCTTTATCTGTAGAGTAGAAGTAGCTGCAGCGTTCACTCCTTAAGACTGATGTGAGAATGAAATGATGACCTGGAATAACTGGTGGGAAGAGGTGCAACCTGACCAGTGGAGGGGTCCAGGAAAGCTTCTTCACTCCCCTC